TGTCCTCCAGCGCCGGCAAACGGCGTGTTGAACCACTCGTCAAAGCTCTGCACCGATGAAAACACGCGCGGCAGGACAAAGTTGAGCAATGCCCACAGCTCAGGCAGGTTGTTCTGCAGCGGCGTTCCGGTCAGAATCAGGCGGTACCGCGTGTTATAGTACGTGGTCAGAATAGTCGCCAGCTTCGACTGTGTGTTCTTCAGGCGATGGCCCTCGTCAATAATCATGTGGATCCACTTGATCTTGGCCAGCATTGGCCGGTCCTTGATGATGTAGTCGTAGGTCGTCAGCAGGACCTGGAAGGCTCCACGGCGGATCTGGTTCTGCAGCGTGCGGCGCTGTGTGGGGTTGCCCTTGTATCCAATGACTGACACCGACGGCGCCCACTTGGCAAACTCGAGGATCCAGTTGGTGATGGTCGACAGCGGCACAATGATCAGGAACGGGCCATCCTGCTGCTTCTTCTCAATCAGGTATGTCACCAGCGAGATGGTCTGGATGGTCTTTCCAAGACCCATCTCGTCAGCCAGGATACCGTTCAGCCTGTTGTTGTACAGCGACACCATCCACTCGAGACCCCGCAGCTGGTAGTCCTTCAGCTGGCCGCCGATCAGGATGGAGGGCTGTGCCACGATAGGCTCCTTGACGCGATGGGCGACTGCAAAGTAGTCGCGGGTCTGCGCATCGTCCGGATCGTCATCCACAGCCTCGGCATTGTCCTGCAGCCACGACGGCACAGGCTCGCTGGCACCGACGGGGTTGCTGTCGGTGGCCACCGATGCCTTCTGCTGGCCCACGGCGTCGATGAGCGAGCTGAGGAACTGGTCGGTCTGCTCCAGCAGGTGCGAGATACGCGTGTCCTTCTCCTTGTCGACGAGCTTCAGGTACGCCTCTTCGTCACCGGCCTTGAGAGCCTGGATACGCTCGCGGGCAATGCGCTCCTTGCGCTTCTGCTCCTCGCGCTCTGCGTGCGAGTGGAATGTCAGGATCGATCGGCCGAGCTTTGACATGCGCTGCTGGTGGCCCTTGTGCCACGCAACAAGGTTCGCGCCATGGTTGGTCATGGCCAAGAGCTGCTGCCGGTGCTGGTCGACCTCGCGGCGCTCGCGCTCCTGCCTCTGCTGCCGCTCCATCTTTTCGGTCAGCCGGGCTTCGCGCTGCGACTGCTTCTTCATGCGACGCAGTGCTGTGCGATCGCCGGCCACACCAAGCTGCGAGGCACGAGTGATTCCGCGGACGACCTCGGCCCGGAGCTCACGCTGCTTGTGCCGCAGGCCTAGCGCCTTGAGTTCAATGATTGATTTTAACCGAGCACTCGACTCGGCATTGGTGATCAGGCCCGGCCGCATAAACAGACCGCCCTCTTGGGCAATGTCGATGCGGTCGTCGCTGATGTTGGCAGGCATCTCCGACAGCTCCTTGATCCGGTACTCGATGCGCGCATCGCGTCTGCGCTCGCGTTCCTGGGCCATTGCTCGCACATCAATGCCAGTGGGCGTGATGCTGGGAACCAGAAGCCGCTGCATCCGCGCGGCCTGGTCTCCGCCGTGAAGCTTCTCCTTGAGGAGCTGGTGCGGCGAGACAAAGTTTATTGGCTGGGGCAGGGGCGGCAGTAGGAGCTCGACCTTGAAGCCTGAGACATTCGTTCCGTTAACTTTGAGATTCGAGTGCACTGAGCTGACAACACCGCCGGCAACGCTATCGAGTCCCTCTGGAGGCGTGTCAAGGAGCCGCTTTTCGTCCTCGGGAATGCTGCTGGCCCACAGCTCCTGGCGCAGCTGCGGCGGCAGGGGCTGGTTCTTTGAAACAAGCCTGAACGCATGGATCTGCTTGCGCAGTGTGGCGATGTCGGCCTGTGAAAACTGCGGTGGCGGGACTGCAGGCTCCTTGGTCTGCTGTGACTGCTCTGCTGACACTACCGCCGTGACTGTCTCCGATGACTGTGATCCATTGGTGGTGCTTCCATTCGTAACTGTAGGCAACGTTGGCTCTGTTTTGACAGGTGTTGCGGACCCAGGTGTTGGTTGCTGCTGCTGCTGTTGTAGTTGCTGTTGGAACTGTTGCTGCTGAGCAGCCAGCTGGCGAATAAATGCCATGAGCTTGGCCATCTCTGGGCTGTTCTCTTCCGTCGCCCCGCGGGCTCGTAGCGCCTGGACAGCCTGGACAACCTGGCTGATCTTTTCTCTAGCATCCAAGCCCGGCTGTTGCTCGCCGCCTCCAGCAACGGTGCTGACCGGGGTTTGTTCTGCCGCTGTCGCCTGCATTTCGCAGAATGCTACAAAATAGAAAACGGCTGCTCTCAGCAAAAGGCGCGTTGATCGTGAAGGGGTGCGAAGGGAAGAAGCGACGAGTGCGGTGCTTACCTGTCAAGCGGGCAAATTGGAGAAGGGTGTGAGGGGCTGGTGAAAAAGCTAAATTGAGTCGAAAGGAATATACGCTGGCAAGCTCTCAAAAGTGCGAGGGCCGAGCGCAGGTGCTTTTTGGAGGTGATCTAGAAGTACCAGGGGTGGGAAGATGATAGCGCACGAGGCGGTGCTGTTATTTTCCAGGCAGAGGTTGTCCCTGACGACGCGAAAAAAAAAAAAAAGAAAAAGTGAGGAAAAAGCTGTTTGGAGCTGAGTGCCACGGATTGCGAGTGATGAGTGAGAAAAGAGCGACGAAAAAAGCATGCAGCTCATTTTCCACCAAATTCTTACGCGGAATAAAGGCCCGCTCGGATTGGCTGTGTGCGCCGGCACGTGGAAGCCAGACACATTGTGCGGCCCAATCATGGCCTTGGGCTAATTGGATATATTGAAAGCTTGATTGATCAAGGTGATCTATGCGATGGTCTCACCGGTCTTCTGGGAATCGTCCTCCTTGTCTGTGAGCTGGTTGTAGGCTATGTCGGCGGCAATGGCACTGAAGATGATGGCACCGAACCAGGTGTTGGACTTGAAAATTTTCCAGCACTTTGCCGGATTGTTGATGTCGACAGTCTTGAGCTGCCAGATCAGATGGGCGCTGCCGGCACCCAGCGCAGTCAAGTAAAAAGGCAAGCCCTGGCCGTTCATGTATCCAGCCAGCGAGATTAGGCTCATGGTGGTCGCCGAGAAGCCCGTGAGGATGAGCCGAGTGCTATCGCCGAACAGCAGCGAAGTTGACTTTACGCCAGCGACAACATCATCACGCTTGTCCTGGTGGCCGTATATTGTGTCATACACGAGCGTCCATGACACACCAGCAGCGTAAAGCGGCAGCGTGACGGCCCAGTTCATGCCACCAGTGATAGCAGTCCACCCGACCAGCGCACCCCAGTTGAAGGCGAGGCCAAGCACAAACTGCGGCCAGTACGTGATACGCTTCATAAACGGGTAGATGATGACCAGAGGCATTGATCCGAGCGTGAACGCGATCGTGTACGGGTTGAGCTGGACCAGAACACCCAGGGCGACGGACAGCTGGGCACCTAGGAACACAAATGCCTTGGGCCGGCTGATCAGTCCTGAGGCAATGGGCCGGATGCGAGTGCGCTCGACCATCTTGTCAAACTTGACATCCCACATGTCATTAATGGTGCATCCGGCGCCTCGCATGACCACAGCACCAGTGCCAAACAGCGCCAGCATGTATGCCATCTCGGTAGGCGGCATGCCGGTGCTGTAGGCGGCCATGCCGATTCCCCAAGCTACGCAGTAAACCCATCCAGCCAAAGCATTATTAGCGTCTACTTTGTTAAATATTCGCAGTGACATAGGCGTCGATGCTCTGCAACTTACCACACGGCCAGTACAGCAGCCAGGTGCCAATGGGCTTATCGATCCGGGTCAGGAACAGGTATGGCCGGGTGCTCTTTGGGAACCGGTCAATAAACGGTCCGTAGCTGGGCACTGCAGGAACTGCTGGCTCCGATGAGGACAGCGATGCTTCTGCGTTCTTTGCTGGCTGTGTCGACGACGAATACTGGGCGCTGAGTGCAGGGATAACAGAGAGTCGCGGCTTAGCGTAGTGGCAGAGGCTGGTGCGCGAGGTGGCCTGCAGCCGCTGGGTGTGGAGCGACTGCGCACGGGGGCTGAAAGAGCTGCTTGTAGCGCCAGCAGCATGGGCAGGTCGCTGGTTAAACAGCGGTCCGCGCAAGTACTGGATAGCCGACAGACTGCTGCGGGCGTTCACCGAGCGGCCTAGTGTCCGGGAAAGCATCGTCGGGAGAAAAATAGACGTAAAAGCATAAAAGCGAAGCTGAGAAGCGACTTTGCTGATAACAGCCAGGAACTAGCCTCTTGGTTTGCGACTATTTTCCTCCTTCCTGGAGTGGTTTTTTGTGCAAGTCCGCCGCCTCTGCTTTTCTGCTCCACATTAATTTTTTTTCCGCATCCGAAATTGCCAACCTCACAATGAGCCAGCGAAGCAGCGTGAAATTCCCCCGCAAGCAGGAGGAGCTGACCAGAGACACGCCCAAGGTGCGCGAGAACTACGACCCACAGCAGCTGATGGAGGAGCTGAAGAACGAGGTCCTGACGGAAGAGGAGCAGCTGCGTATCTTGCAAAAGCTGATCTACCAGACCGACGCCGACATCGAGACCTTCTCGACGTTCCTAAAGTTGCCGGTTGTGGTCACCCTGATGCTAAACCTGATCTTTGTCTACCGGTACGTGATGGGAGGGCTCGCGGGCTATGGCCGAGGACTGCCGACTCTGCCGTTTGTCAACTACGAGATCCGGTCGCGCAACCCGATCATGGCGACGGAGCTTGGCGTGGTCATACTGCAGTTTGTGTTCTACATGCTCTCATCGCGCAGATGGGGGTGGATCATGAAGTCGATCTATTGGGTGCTTGCGGTCAGCGGAATCGGCCATGCGATGCTTTGCGAAAAGACGGGATTCATCGAGTTCCTGTGGTGGATGCTGCCTGTGCTCAATCTGCTAGTGGTCGGATATGCTCAGCTCAACATGCGGCGGAGTCTGCTTGACATTGAGGAGCTTGCCAAAAAGACGTATCACGTCAAGAGTGCCTAGACGCTCTCTCTTCTCATCTCTGTATATTACGTTTTTCAAGGGTGTCAACAGCTGAAGTCTTTATTAACAAGAATGATGATGCAGTTTCAGGTACCAAGTGAAATCTAGTAGATACGGCCAGCGAATCCACCAAAGCCGCCAAACGGTGGAATGCCAGCCCCAACTCCGGCTCCAACCCCAGCGCCAACCCCAGCACCGACTCCCGCTCCGACTCCTGCCCCGACTCCAGCTCCAATTCCAGCGCCGTAACCGCCAAGCATACCGTAACCGCCGCCAATGCCATAGCCTCCACCAAACAGCCCGTACCCAGCACCAACACCAGCACCAACACCAGCACCGACTCCTGCTCCGACTCCTGCTCCGACTCCTGCTCCGACTCCTGCTCCAATTCCAGCACCGACTCCCGGGACACCATAGAACTGAGCAGAAGCAATGGTGCTCGAAAGGGCAATAACTACGGCAAAGATCTTGACCATTATTGATATAAGGGTGTGCTGTTGATATGTGATTGAAAGTGAATTGCAAGGGAATATCGCTGTGATATGGAGTTGCTGGAAGATACAGCGCTGCACAAGGGATATTTATATTCGACTAGCCCAAGCGATACCTCCTGCATGACTCTCACATCATGAAATTACCACACATTTGCCAGTCAGTAGATAGGTTAGTAAATTGGACAAAACACAGATGGAACTACGGTACAGTATAGAGTAGAGTTTAGATGGTAAAAGAAGTCAAATGAAAGAAAGCTATATAAACAGTAGATGGCCAGAAGGACGCAGCTTGCGTCGCTCTCCTTCTGTTCTGCCACTTTTCGGAGACAAGGGGCACCGGGCATGAGTATGAACACATTGAGCGTGTGTGGGTTTTTCATATTGAGAGCGTAGCCCAAGCAGTTGGCAGCACTGATCCCAGGCATGACGTAGTGGAGCGTAGCAGCAGTGACGCCGCGCTACTGCAAGCACTGCGGATCGTATTAACGCACTTCATGGCAACAGAGTAAGGACAGGATCGTGCTGCTGCGTGCCCAGGCGGATCACCCTCGATAGCCAGCGCAAGCAGCGTCCAGATAATCTCCTCCACTGGCCGCACATTGCCATACTTGGGAGCGCGGATATCAGCAAACGACGGCAGCTCGACTGCCAGCCACCAGCACTTTGTGCAATCGGAGCACCCAGAGCACCAAAACACTCGCTGCCAAACGCCATGTTAACAGCAGCATGCCCTGCGATGTCGTCAGGGTCGAGGATACACGTCTGCGGACTCATATGGAGCGTATCCCGCAGATGCACGAGCCAGCGCTGGACAGCGCCGTGGCTCATATCGGCAGTCACCAGGTATGCAGGTGCTCGGACGACGAGTCCTCGGGGTCAAGCACAGACAGCGTATACAGCGGGTATCCGTTGATGTTGGTGCCCATAGCGCGTTCCAGCGACAAGACAAGCGACGGCAGTGGTCTGTTGGCGATGGAAGGCACGATGCTGCCTGCGCACGCACAAAGCCAAACGAGAATGGCTCTGTTTCGACAAACGGCAGATGGCCAAGAGTCTTCCACAGCGCCATCCACTGAGTCAGGCCGGTGGTTGCGTAGGGCGCCGGGGCAGGCGCAATCTGTATGTCCTGCGCATACAGTTTGGACAGCTCGCCAGCACTTGCCAGCGCTCCGGCCCCGGCAATGTGCGTGCTGGCCGACGAGGCCATGCTCGTATATGAGATGAGCGGCGTGTCGGGAATTGGCGTGTACTGGACGGGCTCAGGGGCTCGGTCGGCAGCGTGGTTGACGAGGATTCCGACGAGCTGTTTCTGGCCACACGTCTGCTGTGTTTCCTGGCGCTCTTCTTGGTCAGCTCGTGGCCATGGTGCATCGGGAAGTAGCGGATGGTGGCGGTCCCATCGATATCGCAGGTCACATAGGCGGCGCACGGACACCCGACCTTCTTTGACTTCCTCGTGTTCTTTGCAACCCGGCCCTCCAGCACTGCAATTTTATCTTTGGCCTTGATTTCAGGGCGGCCGTAGCAATGGCACACGTACTTGCAGTACCATCCGCGCACGCGCTTCTTCTTGCCGCCGCACTGGACAAACCGGAAGTTCCCTACCTTCTGCTCCTTATCAAGCCAGGCCGGGATCTGCGACTCATGCATGGTGAAGTGCTTGCAGTGGCCCACCTCATCATGCTCTTCGACAATGGTGGCCGAAGGGCTGGGGCTCTTGTCGGCGACCAGCTGGCCAGCAGAGGGAGTGAGGGGAGGGGCCATTAGGAACTGCAGCTCGGTGAGCGGCTGGTCAGGCACAGCAGCCGGTGGGTCAGCACAGGGCCGAACAGGTCGCACGCTAGTGGCGCGCCGTCGAAGGGGCAGCAATGGCTGAGTCAGGGCGGATGCCGAAGCCAGGAGCGCTTCGACATCCGGCCCGAGATTAGACGGGTCGTCACTACTACTACTACCAGGCGGGCGGCTGGTCAGCGAGGAGTAGATTGGGGATGTGGGCGGCAGCAGAGGCTGCGAGTTAGGCGCAGGGACAGGCTGCCTGGACCGCCAGACCTCTTTCCCGAGTTGCTGGAGTTGTTCATTGAATACAAGGGGTGCATCTTGTGCGAGTTGCTGCAAAAAAATCTGAAATGATGTCTGAGCTTGCGTATTTAAAGGGGGAGCTATTGGAAAAGCAGATGTAACAATGTGAGAAAAGCGCAGGGAGGCAAGGGGAGGCTAGCAGGGAGTGGGTATATAAAGTGCTCTGTGGGGGGACGAGGTGGTGGGAATGGCCGAGCGCGACGCCCAGTGACAATGGGCGAGTTTGCTGGAAGGGAAATCCGAGCGACATACACTTTTTGGCGCCTAATGCGGGCACGATTTTGCTTGTTTTGACCACCTCAGGCATCGTGACCCAAGGCTGCCATTCATTAGCAGCAGCATATTTAACGCGCTGCTGGCGAGTTCGTGTGCACTCCTCTCAGGTAAGCTGGTGATCGTAGAGCGATACTGCACGCAGCTCAAGAGCATGGTTCCCAGAAAAAACCAACATTCAGCCGCCTTCAGCAGAGCCCTTAGAACGCCGAGCGTTTCCTTCGTCGATCGCGGAATTCAGGCCTGATAGACAAGCATTTTGACATGGGCAGCACCCAATTGCAAGCAGCGAGTTGGAACGAGTGTTCCCGCGCTGTCACGCACATTCACCGTATGACATGCGCCGTGATATCACCACAATCGCTATATATTTTTGTGCCAGCCTACAAGAACCCAACTAGGCACTGGTCAAGAATCATGTCGACGTTGACCCACGAATGTGTCTCGGCAAACAGCTTGGATCCATCCTTGCCTGCTGCCCTCATCAACTGGCCGCGGCCGCCAGGGTGAAAGTTCATATACCTAGTGACATTGTAGACCTTGCCGTAGATGACCATCCAGCAGTCGTCACGTTTATTGTGCTTTGCAACCTCCTCCATTGTCAGACGCCGCAGCTGCTGCACCCGCGGAGGTCCTCGCCTGAGGACTTTAGGCGCGCCCAGTCCATTGGCGAGTGACCCGGGGCCAGCGCAACCTTGTGCCGCACGCGGCCTGCAGTCGTAGATGCAGCAAGCTGCGGGCTGTTCCGTGCCGGGAAATTGAATGATGTGGGTTTGGGAAGAGGCGCCAGTCCGGTACTCCGCGCTGCTGATGTGCCCTGCTGCTCCTACAATCGTGGACAGAAGTGCCGGTTTTCAGCCTAAACCGCCTAATCGATTGACACGAGGTGCTCTGTCCGATATATGTACCTCGCGTGGCGGCGGTAGCGACATTATCCGGGTGTATGTGAAAGTGACTGTGTTTATGCAGATGCAGGAGAGAGAAAGGCACGTCGGAAGTGCCTGTGCGCCCGCCAATTTGTCATCTCGGCCACAGACATCCTGGGAAATAGCCAGCCCTGGTCGGAATCTGATCGATCAGCTGCTCTCTGGATCAGGCAGCAAAAAAAAGGTTGTGCCTGCTGCCCTCCTCACTAACGCTCCAGTCTTGCAGCCTCCTATATCTTATTGCAAATACACAACAGAAACACGCAGAATGGCGGGTGGAATCAGCAACAAGCGGCCGCGCAACAGCAGCGGGTTCTCGTCAGACCTGGATCGGCGGGTTGGGCGGCTGCTGCGCGACTACATGGTTGAGGAACAGGCAACAACGACTGGGCCGTTTTCGTTTCCCAGTACCTCCAAGCTCGTCGACTACGTGCGCGAAGTAGACATGAGCCTGCGGCGACAGAAGCTGCTGCAGCTGGAAAGAGCGTGCAGCGAGTGGTGGGCGTATGAGACGCCAGCAGGACAACCAGCAGTGCAGTCGGCGGCGCCATCAGCCGCACACACCAGCGACGAGGAGCCAGATATCGACGGATCAATGGACTTTGACGACCTGGAGGCAGTGCCGACGATGGAGGTCAAGGACAACGGTGCAATGAACGGTCGCTGATGAAGCTGTGGGGAGCAAAGGCGGAGAGCGCAGCAGCGGCAATGAACACAGCCACCACTGCGCCAGCACACCGCAGAAAGAGGCGACGCCGGATGTGACGACAGCTGGCCATGCGGGGACGCAGGAAGAAGCGGCGCA